CTAACCAAGACTCAGGCTAACTAATAGAATTTTGACTGCTAACCCAGAGCCACTCTGTGTGCCCATAGCAATTACTACCTCATTTTTCTAGAAGATTCTGTACAGCTTTATCACCCAAGATTGTCCCTAGACGCCATTTGTAAAGACTCAATACAACTTTCACGTCTCTCAGTCTGCAGGTCTCCCTCCATCTCTTTCTTTTCCTTACAATCCTCGTGTTGATCCCACGCCATTGAACTAGGAGAGAGAGCTGTCTGTAGGCTTTGCTGGTTGAGTACAGATGGTGAAGTTTCACATGCTTCTCTGTCCTCTTTCTTGCAAGGCGCAGCTGGATCCGGAGGCTTAATCAGGCTCAGGTTCCTATTTAAACATGTTGACCACTTTATTATGTAGTTAAACTACATGACTTAGGCATGAGTCAGTAGGAGGTAGTGTTGTTTACTTTCCTCAGGGGCACATCCTGTCTGGTTCTCACTCTGTACTTATTTATTTATTACTGAAATATAATTGAAATATAATATTGTGTTGGTTTCAGATGTACAATGTACATACAGATGTCAACAGTTTTTTTTTGTTTGTTTTAAAGATTTTATTTATTTTTTTTGTCAGAGAGAGAGAGCACAAGCAGGGGGAGCGGCAGGCAGAGCAGGTAGAGGGAGAAGCAGGCTCTCTGCCAAGCAAGGAGCCCGATGTGGGACTCGATCCCAGGACCCCGGGATCATGACCTGAGCCGAAGGCAGACGCTTAACTGACTGAGCCACCCAGGCGTCCCCAGATGTCAACAGTTTTGATGCCTCATGCCGGGGTTAATGCATTCTTTCCGTGGGGGCTACAAGACAGTGATATTCCAACTCTTAGCTTTAGTTTTCATTGACTAGCTGAGATAATTTGATACAGAGTTGCTTTTACCACATTTTATTTGATTACTCAGAATATATAGTTAATATTAAAAATGACAGAAGGATGCTTGTTATTTACCGTTTTTATTTACCCATTTTTCCAGATAATCAGTTTCCAGCCATCCTCAGAGGTGGAAAAATTAGGGTTGGTTTGTTGTAGGTAATGCCATTCTGGTTTCATTCTGACAGATGTGGAATACATCACAGAGTTTTCTTGGTGCCTGTTTTCCCCTTTTCCTTCTTAGGATCTCTGTTTTCCTGCCTCTCCCATTTCCCGCTTGTCTGGTTTCCTCCCCTGTATACTAGGAAGGATAACTCACAGGTTTGAATGGAATGTGCTGAGATCTTCTGTAAAAGCCACCTTGTCCAATAACAGGCATGGACTCTCATTTAAGAAATATTTGCTTTCCTAACTTAAATGAAGACGTTGGAGACTTGAAAACATGCCCCACTCCAAGTGCTACATGCTTACCCATTATGCTGAGTTGACTTTTTTTTAAAGGATTTTATTTATTTATTTGAGAGAGAGAGAGACAGACAGACAGACACAGCATGAGCAGGAGGGGCAGAAGGAGAGGGAGAAGGAGAGAGAATCCCAACCAGACTCCAAGCTGAGCATGGAGCCTAATGCAGGGCTCAATCTCATAACCCTGAGATCATGACCTGAGCCAAAACCAAGAGTTGGGACGCTTAACTGACTGAACCACCCAGGCATCCCTGTCTGTGTTGGCTTTTTACTGTTGTAATTGCTGCGTCTATGGGCAGAGAATACAATTATTCTTTGGTTGGTCTGTGTCAATTGATAAAATGTCAGTATTTGGAACTATCGTGTTCAATAGCAGGAAATAGAACTGATGAGTTGGGTGAGTGTTTAAGGTATGTGTGATCCTGGTGAAGACTCTGAAAGGGAATCCCATGTACGGAATAGAAGCTGTCAAGTTACTATGCTATTGATTTTCCCTGCAACTGTAGAAGGAAGAAGGTGTTGTTTTGTT